GCCCATCTACATTAAGATCCAAAATTCTGAGAAAAAAGTCAGAATTCTGAGAATAAAGTCAGAATTCTGACTTTTTTTCCACGTTAAACTGAAATAACATTTAAAAATCAATAAACTTTTTTTATTTTTTCAGTGGCCCTAATCCTCTTCCGTACAGTAATACTTAATTTGACTCATAGAAGGAAATGTTTGTTTCATTACGAATCTTCAGAATTTCTGCACAGATGATTCAAATAAATAGGCTGTATTCATTGTCTTGAGTCTGACCTTAAAGCGTGAAATTAGAATCGGAGGTTCCAGACAGGGTGCCGATGATTGAAAGCCTGGCAGAGAACCGTGAATTAAATTGAACCCCAGGGCTTTGTGGTTGGGAATAGTTTTTGGTAGATCATAAAGAGTTCCACTAAGAAAATGGCATTTATCATGTGACTAGAGACTTTTAAAAGCTTCAGCATACTCTTTAAAGGACTCCGAACGTGTTTCAGACAGACATTCTGTCCTCTTGGCAGCAGTGAACACATCTGGCAGATGTGTATTCACACATGGTGAAGGCAGATGATCTGCAACAGGTCGGTCTGTCCTAAAAAGACAGACTGAGAGTCAAACCCAACAACCTTATATCATAAGGAATATTGACCCGACTCCCTTTTCCCTCCAGGTCAACTTGTTCTTTCTGCTAAACATCGTCCGAGTTCTCATCACCAAGCTGAAGGTGACGCATCAGGCAGAGTCCAGTCTGTACATGAAGGCAGTTAGAGCCACACTCATCTTGGTTCCTCTGTTGGGAATTGAGTTTGTTCTGCTTCCTTACAAGCCAGAGGGACGGGTCTCCTCTGAAATTTACGACTACCTTATGCACATACTAATGCATTACCAGGTAAGCAGCCAACCATTAGCTCTGAGTTACCGACTGAAATGACCGCGACAATCTTCTATAATGTGTAAATTGTGCTTTTTAAAAGCTGTTCTCTAATAATATGTGCATAGAAACATCTTTGGGAGTTTTATCTAATTTATTGTTTATTAAATCTCTGTACATCATATATCTTCTCTTTACTGAACATCATTTAACTAGAGTAAACTGCTGCTTGGATATCCTGCCCATTATATCCCTCCTCTTTAGGAGCCTCTTAAGAGACAGTTGTTTGTGTTGTAACCCAGGGAGGAAAAGCAGGAAGGAAGGCGCAAATTATCTGAGCTGAAAACAGTTGGATGTTGACGAGGTGTTATCTGATCAGGTCTCCCAGCCTGGCAGGAGGAGGAAAATATCTCCTGCAATATGAAGAACAAGCCCCCCCACCCCCATGAAATGTCTTTTCTTAACTTTATCTACATTGTAGCTCTATAGCCACTAGAACTGCTCTCCTACATGAGCCTTATTGGAAGAAATGTTTTCTTTTCCCATTTCAGGGTCTGCTTGTGGCAACCATCTTCTGCTTCTTCAATGGAGAAGTAAGTCGGACATTTGACCTTTTCAGTAATCTCTTCTATACTTTGTCTTTGTTCTTCGTGTTTAAGGTATACCGGCAGCCAATGTTTTAGACAGATATTTGCGTTTTTTCGGCATCCCCATTGGCCTTAAAGAGCTTTTATGAGTCAGTCTCTACTCAACATACAGAAACTTTACTATTTTAATCTCCGTTCTTCTTCTATCATGTTTAATTTTCTCCTAAAGGCCAATAACCTTCAATTGATGCTAACTTATGTAGCATTACTTTCCTGCAACCATGGGCTGAGAAAGGGGACAGGGGTCCTGTAGAAATGGTCATGGCCACTGTACCAAAGATTTAGAATTATGTATTTCCTATTATATGTACTTACAAAGAAACCATAACTGATAACTGGTCACTTTGATTTATTTTTTGTCAACCTTTACAGTTTTATTTCAACAGTGATTAAAAAATGAAATATGTTGCATTGAGATTGGATCACAGTTTTAGGGGTGCACCAGTTATCGTATTCTGGCTGACAGCCGATCTTTAAAAAGCCTGAAATGCTTATTCCAATTTTGACCAATACCAGTGTTTTATAACAGTTGCAATAAGGTTCACAACACACCCTGAATTTTACAAAAAAAAAAAAAAAAAGTCCTATGACACATTAAAAACTAATTCAAAGTAGACAGCATTGTTCTGTTGAGTATAAAGGAAAAGTTAACAGCACTGGGATTAGTGGTTATTATCGGTTTTACATCAAAATTTCAGCTGGAAGCACATGGTGAATAAATCAGTGGGCTCTTACTTTTTATCTGCTAAATCTGTGTTCTCCAGATTTGCAAGTGGCTATTTGCCTTTTTATTTCTGGCCCCCATGAACAAAATTTAGAGCTACAACTCGTCTTTAAGGTACATGTATAGTGGAGGACATTCTTTTTCTGGGTGCATCATCAAAATAAGTGGTCCTCCTAATTGTCAATCATTCTGGTTATATGTTTACGTAAGGCCATGCTATAGGGCTGGGCGATATAGAAAAAAAGCTTATCGATAAAAAAAAATGTATATATATATAATTTTTCTTTTATTTATTTATTTATTTTTTTAACTTCTGTTTTGTCTTTCAGAAATGGTGACAAAGATTTGCACGGAAAGTGGGCAGTGGTTTGTGCATCCCTTCAGCAACCGGACATGGAGCAACTACACACGCTGCACCGAGCACACCAATGAAGGCATGATGGTATGTCCTCATAAAGGACATCTTTGCATAAACTATTGAAGATCTGACCTTTTTCAAGCATCTGAGATACTAAACAGTTAAACACCAAACTCACATAGCACCACAAAGTTGACCTGGCTTTTAGCTCAAAATATTTCCATTTCTAAAATTAGTAAATGTGTAAAGAAACGACAACAACAAAAAAAGTACAAGGCATTGAAAGTTGCCAAAGATTGATGCCATCATGTTTGGATGGCCAAACGAAGACTTCAATGAATGACATCTTTATCAGACCCCACTAGTGATGGCAAAATTTCCAAAAGATTTTGCAAAATAATTTACTAAGACATCGGGAGAGTTATCTTACACAACATACCCTGAGACTTAGCATATCACTAACCTAACCACGGATCTAAAAAGCACTTTCTGCTGAGCCCTGTCTATACGAAATACATTCTCCATATTTCTATTGAAAACATATTTTATTAGAATTAGTCCATTCATGTATAAAGGCTCTTTCCCACTGAAAATGATGGGTTAACCCGTAATTTTTTTTTTTTTTTAAACATTAGTCGACTGAAAGGATTTCACCAAGCAGCGACAAAAACAAAATCTTTCCTAATGCCAACGTATCTGGCTCCTAGCTGGAGAGGAATGCACACACCTCCAAATTGCACACATCATTTCAGGATTGTACATTAACTGGTTCCAGGGATGCTTAAGAAAATTATGAATTTAATAAGTTGCTATTCAAATACATCCAACTGAATATATGCAATAAGCTCAACTTTTCAAAGCAGCTGTAATGAAAAGATTAGGAAGGCCCTAAAAACCACGAGGCGGTATTTACCAGTGAGTGGACATCACAAATAATGTTGCAAAAATGCTGGTGATTCAGGGTTTTGTTGCCTCACAAAATGAAGAGGTTTTGAGGACATACCGTATGTAATTGAGGAATATCTTTCTTCCAATTCTTTCCAGACGGCGATGAATCATTTCTACTTAACCCTCATAGGACATGGACTCTCTCTGGTTTCCCTCCTTATCTCTCTGGCTATATTCTTTCATTTCAAGTAAGTCCCTGATATCAGCCTACTTTAAGTTTAGCTCTCAATGGTTGATTCTCGTCTGAGTGAATAAAAATATCTTATTTTTCCTGCAGAAGTCTGAGTTGCCAGAGGATTACTCTTCACAAGAACCTCTTCTTCTCCTTTGTTCTGAACTCTGTAATCACTATCATTTGGCTGACCGCAGTGGCAAACAACCAGGAGCTGTTGCAAAGAAATCCAGTGAGTTCATTATTTGGTTCTAATCCATCTTCACTGTTTACGTCCCTGTTCTTTCAGCTTGCACTGCTGCTCAAATCTGGGCCTAAAAAGCAGGGAGAATACTGACAAATCCTTCTATATTCATTTTAAAATCACAGATAAGTAATATATATCACTAGTAACCATTAATTGAATGATCTTTGAAAACACATTAGCTGGGAAGCCAAAATTGTAAATAATTGGGGATAATATATGATTATTTTTAATCTGAAAGTTAGTTTTCTAGTTAACTGTTTATAGGGCACGTTACAGTTTTTGATCACTTGCTTACCCCTTACAAATGGAGTCCCCCCCATCCCTCAGTGAGGTCTAGAAGCACAAGATCTAAATCCAGCCATTTAGCAAAGATACTGCTACATGGCCGTTCATCTTATTTTGGCATTTGACCAATTAGATGGGCCCTTGAATTATATATTTCCTACTGTAAATTAAGTTGGGGAGAAAAAGAGTTAAAAAGTCAAGAAAAAGGGTAAAAAGCTAATAACAAAGTTCAAAAGTCAAGAAAAAAAGTAAAAAGCTAATCAGAAAGTTAAAAACTAAAGTTTAAAAGATAAAAAAGCTAATTACAAAATAATAAAAAAAATCAAGAAAAAAAGATAAAAACTTTATTAAAAAGTCAAGAAAAAAGGTAAAAAGTTAATTAAAAAGTTCAAAAGTCAAGAAAAAAGTAAAAAGCTAATTGGGAAGTTAAAAAGTAAAGTTTAAAAGGTAAAAAGCTAATTACTAAATAAAAAGAAAATCAAGATAAAAAGTTTATTAAAAAGTTAAAAAGTCAAGAAAAAAGGTTAAAAGCTAATTGGGAAGTTAAAAAGTAAAGTTTAAAAGGTAAAAAGTTAATTAAAAAGTTGGAAAGTAAAGAAAAAAAAAGTCAAAAAATTAAGTCAAAAAGTTAATAGGCCTAGTTAACAATTATATTTAGGGTTATAAACTAAAAAAATGTAATTGCCAGTATCAGCATTAATGCCTCTAAGGTTATGTTGGACCAAAAAAAAAAGTGTTTCTTTCACACTCAGAGAGTTTTTCATGAATTTCTTATTGAAGCACTTTTGTTATTTTTCTTAATATTTTCAGGTAAGTTACATTACATTACATTGTTACAAAGGTAATAACGTCTTGTCCTGGATTCCAATAACACTATGGGCTTGAAATGTGGATTTTCAAAGGATTTGACTATAAAGGACTAATAGTTAACATTTAAAGGATCCGTCTGAGACACAACTCTCCTGTGTGATATTCTCCTGTTTTTGTGTTTCCTCAGGTCAGCTGTAAAGTGTCCCAGTTTATCCACCTCTACCTGTTTGGCTGTAATTACTTCTGGATGCTCTGTGAGGGGATTTATCTGCACACTCTCATCGTCGTGGCTGTGTTTGCTGAGAAGCAGCACTTGATGTGGTATTATCTGCTAGGATGGGGTAAGTGGGGACAAATAGGTCTATTGAAAACACAATTACTCCTCTGTAAGCTAATTAAAATGTTGCTCCTTTTTTAGGCTTTCCTCTTATTCCTGCCTCCATTCATGCTATTGCTCGGAGTTACTACTACAACGACAAGTACGTTTACTACAGATAATGTTCAACGTGACAAATCTTTGTGCCGAACTGTTGTAAATAGGCCGGTACTGTGCGGTGCTGATATTGTTGCATAAACTTCTCTCTTTACTCCTCTGTAGCTGCTGGATTAGCTCCAAGACATCGCTGCTCTACATCATCCATGGTCCCATATGTGCTGCTCTCTTGGTAAGACGGCTCTGATGAAATCAGTCTGTTGGCTTGGTGGAGTTAAACTGATCCGGTCCATGTTGTCTCTGGGCACCCTGTTTTTATTGCACAATGAGCAGAGCGACCTGTTTCTGGCCTCTTCTGAGAGAACACTGCAGTGGTGGTGGACGGCTTTAATTTTGTTTGTCTTGTGAAATCACTTCATCTGCCCTCCGAGGGTCCACTGATAGCCCCCCAGGTTGTTTTGTTTTGTAAGAATTGACCCAATTAGAACAACAGGACGTACTGTATTTCAGAGGAAACAGGTCAGTCAGCTGTCTGAGACAGAAGGTTGCATTTATTAAAACTTGTGTGGATTTCAGACGCAAAGTTTTAATATTGTAGCCTTCAAACAACTTTCCAATCATATTCTTAAGTGCTCTTTATGATGAAAAGTTTAGGTTTTTGTGTATTTTACCTTTGCTGCTTTTCTTTCTGTGCAGCCTTTTCCACAAAACGACTCATTTAATCAAATACAGTTCATTTCTCTTTGGGATTAATAATATATTACTGAATTGAATCGAAGTCTGTTGATGAGTAATGAAAAATAGTTTTATACCGTTCTATATCATGTTCTGTCCTTTCCCAGATATGGAGCTTGTGTAGGGATTTAAGCAACTGCTATGATGTGATCCATTTTCCCGGTGTTGGTCTGAACTAAGCTCCTGATGCCTGATTTTATATTTACAGAAACACATAAACTGAGGCTGATGTGGTGATCTAAACTACAGAAGACAACTGGGACTTTTGCCCTTATGTTTCCCTTTACTTTTATTTGTTTTCACACTGAAAGATCAACCAACCGGCCTCCAAATAGGAATTGGCTAAAAGTCTCATGGGATGCTTACTGTGTTTTAAAAATAGACAACCAGTGTGGAATAATTCAGTCCAGTTTATGTCTAAATCAGATTGGTTCCTTTAATAAACGACCATAGTAACCTGTGATTGGGCACTTTGCTGAAGTTTATTTTACCATACAGTAGTACGGAAGAGGATTAGGGCCACTGAAAAAAAAAAAGTTAACTGATTTTTTAATTTTATTTCAGTTTAATATGGGAAAAAAAGTCAGAATTGTGACTTTTTTCTCAGAATTCTGACTTTAATCTCAGAATTCTGACTTTTTTCTCAGAATTCTGACTTTAATCTCAGAATTCTGANTCTATCGATCGATATATATCGTTATTGAATTATCGCCCAGCCCTACTATGCTACGTGCTTTGCCCCATTTTCACTCACCAGTGGTGAGTCTGACATAGTGGAAAAATTGTAACTCTTCTTTTGGAAAGTAAGTTTGTATGAGTGATGCAAAGAACAACTTTTAAACAGAGCATGCACGAGGAGAAATGGGGTTGTGCACGCTCTCGCAAGTGTTTAATAGGCGTTTCCTCTCTGGAGCTGGTACAGGGTTGTGCATGTGCATTTTTTTAAGGTGGAGAGCACAAGTCTTTTCAAAAATTCGCAAAAATCCTCCACTATACCTTTAACAAGGAGCAAATTGTTAAGTTATATTAAAATAGCAATTATTTCTTATTATAATCAAAGGGATGAACTGTATTCGATAGGGGTACTGCTTCTCATCTCTTCTGTCTAACCCCTGTCTCTCTTGTTCAGGTCCAAGCGGTTCTGAGGCGGCACTGGAACCAGCACCACATCCAGTTTGGCAGCAGCATTGGGAACCACTCGGACGCCCTTCGCTCAGCCTCCTACACGGCCTCCTCCATCATCGAGGTGCAGGGCTGCTACACCATCGATGGTCACACGGAACACATGAACGGAAAGGGCTTCCACGACACAGACGCTTCCATGCTGAAGTCGGACAGCACCTTCGCCTGACAACCAGGCCCTTTCTGACTCTACCCATCCCTCCAATTTCTTAACATCTGCATCATCCATGGAGAAGAGGGGAACTCTGACCGGACGGTGTCAGGAAGTGTGTAGAAAAGGATTCAGAGTGTCACAAACATTAAGGAAACGCTCACTTGTCCGCCTCTCCGGAGGTCGGTGAGCTCTGCACAGCTTCTCTTCCACTGTTCTGCTGACGTGTCGGTCGTTCCACCTGGACTCTCACATTCTACTATTCCTGATACAAAAGTTTTTAAACTAATGCATAATGACTGCTGGTTTATCCTTCTGGCGCCATGTTGTGGACAAAAGCCCTTCGTTTAGACTGTAAAAACCCTTTTAAAGAGATAGTGCCAAACCCGTCTTTCCAATACAGCCGCTCTCCTTACGTTTATCCAAGAAATGACGAAGATATAACATTAAATCATAATATATATATTAAAGATACACCATATTGTTTATCATGGTTTTATCTAAGCATTCGTGTTTCTAAAATATTACCATGCTGTCTTTATTATAGACCTGCTAGGTTTTATTTGAAATCAGACAGCAAATGTGCTTTAAAATCATCTAACCATGACTGGGAGGAAAAGTCTGGTTTTGAAGAGCAAGATTGTGTCACATTCCCTTTTTATCCCTTCACGGCTCAGACTGAGCAGAAATGAAAGCTGTTTCGGGTAGAAGCTGCAGATCGTTGTGTGAGAGAGAGAGAAAAAAAAAGAACTGAAGGAAATCTTGTTTTATAACTAGAAGTTTTACCTCAGGTGTACGCAATATACTCCACAATGGATAGTATTTATTGACGAAAGCCAAGGGGACAGGCTATGAAATAAAAGCTAAGCACAACCCACAATTTTATATCAGCTTCAGGTCATTTCGACCATTTGCAAATTCATACCTCCA